TACAATAATTACTAGCACGTTATACGCCACAAACTTCGGCGCTTATTTTTATGACACGCATATTTTGCATAATTTATTTATTTGAAATAGAAATAATACATTTGCAAGAGATTTATATAGTGTAAATTAATGTATCTAGATGTGATTTTTTTAAAGATATTTATAAAGAAAAGAAATAATTTTCCAAGTGTTGGGGTCCAGAAATAATCACGCTTTAAGACTTAAAAATTCGTAATCTATTTCCTTGCATTTTTTTGCAAAATTATTTAGTAATAAATATTATTTCATATTCACCAAAATATGGAGAATTCATTGCGCAGCGAGATAAGTACGTATTTATGTATTTTCTTATTATATCTTTTACTTTGGATTTTATATAAGATGCATGCTGCAAACTAATTTTATGAGAGTAAAACGTTAAAACGTTTAAACGTAAAGAGATAAAACGAGACACAATTTACTCTATCGTTATCTCTTTTATATTCTAACGCGTCTTCGGCAAACGCGCGAAGACGCTTAATACGCTTTTTTTACGAGGATGGTACGAGGCAAATTTTCCTCAGAATATATACATAATCAGCATAGAAACCATATTGTAAAACGTATTCCAAGAGCAAAAGCTAGGAACATTGAGCGATCTTTATACGAAATGAAAACCAAAAGCGTTGGTTTCTATTTTTATACATTTTTCTTTATAATCACTTTGTCTAAAGCTTATTCATAAGTTATTTTTTAAAGCTTCATAGAAATTACCTCATAGAAACCTTAGAAATATTCACTTTATTTTAAAAGGATCTTTTTTTACAATCGCGTTTATTTAATTCTTTTATAAAAATTTAAACAGCCAGATTCATCGTGTTTCTACAAGTTATGCACATATTTATATATTGCTATATATAAAATTATGTTTATAAATTAACGTTATTTTAATTGTTAAGAATATTAAACTGTAATCTCAATGGTTGAATAGAGTCAATAAGAAGGTGTGACACTAGGCCTAGAATTATTTAAGATATCTTTCTGCAGGCATAGCGACGAATATATTTTTCGACCGTGGACTAATTTTCGCTTTAAGGTGACAATTAGAAGGATACTAATGTGCACAACGTCTCGTAACGTGTCGTATGAATGCATTACGCGACGCAATTAAAACTCGGGTAGCACGAATGTGCAGGGAAGATCTTTTCAACATATATATATATATATGTATATATGGTGCACCGGGAGAAACCTTTCGAAACTTCCGTACTTTCGAAATATATTATGCAAACAATCTGTGACAAAAGTCATAAAATTTTTTGCTAATAAGAACTGCAATATAAACATTAGAAAATAAGAATAATAATAAAATGGGATAATATTAATAAAGATAAAATAGAATTGTAATAAATTAATGCAAAAATAAATTAATTTGATTGAAGATATAATTTTATTAGAACGCTTAATGTTGATGATCAGAAGTTTATCATACTTAACTAGCCGATATAACTTAATTAATGTATACATTCTGATCGTCGTTTTCTGAATCTCCCTATAGACGGGCTTTCAATTAATAATGTGTGCACGTCTTCATAATATGTCGTACAGACGCATTACGCGGCACTAATTAAAACTCGAGAAACAGCCCGTGGGATTTTTCGCGCGCCAACAACCCGTTCGCGCGAACATCTAGAAGATCTTTATTCACCCACGCGCAAGTAATTATATCCTGAAAAGCGGATAAGCTGAGAAAATGAACAAGAGTTAGGAACTATTCAAGGAAGTTATAACAGTTGGAGTGATTTTTCGTTTACGAATGCGTACTCTTTTGGTACGCTCTAATAAGCATTTATATGGTAACTATAAAGCCACAAGCTAAATATAGAGTGTCTCCGAACTGTCGTACTTTTCTTCAACTATGAATCTGTTAATGAGATCGATTCGACCTGAGCAAAAAGTTGATGGATACTCATTAATTATTGGAGTTCTAAAATTTTATTTTTTAACACAAAAAATAGATCTAATTATTATCATATCAATCTTATTTTTCAAATTTTTCTAGAGTATTATTTTTATATATAATATAAAAATGT